TATATATATATATATATATATATATATATATATATATATATTGATATCTATTTATATAATATAAAACATTTTACGGTAAATTTCAGTGGAATTTTTAAAAAGCAAATCTATTAAATAAGTGTACATATAAGGAATTCCTTAGAAAAGTAAGTGAATAGGAAGTATTTCGCTCCCCAAATAAATTCAGCAATAATGATGTTTACGTAGTCGAATTAATTAGTTTCCTAGTAATAAAAAATTATTTCAATGAAGTTTTATTAATGCATATACACATATCACGTCAAGTATAAGCTTTTTATATAAATAGGTAAATGCGTATATGTGTGTGTGTTTTTGTGTGCGTATATCAATAAAATATACATCTTATATATACGTACGTGTACGATATCGATAACACTGATTATTTTAATTAGATAAGAAACAGATCTACGCAATAAATAAGGTTTAGATGAATAACATAACAGAATATAAATCTAACGTCTATTAGGCGATGGAGTATTAAAAAAATTTAATTATCATAAATCAGTAAAAGTCTTATGTTTTGCTTGAAATTTATAAGTTATTAGATTTGTTTACGAATTTATTGACTCGGTCCATATACATGAAAAAACAAGTTAACATTTTTACAACTTTATATTTAATCCAAATATGGACATCATGGTCTTCTCGCTATGCTTTATGTTCATGCATGCGTAAATACATTTGCGTGACATGCGAAAATTATGTGGATACTGACTGACTGTTTTCATTTGAGAATAGTTGAACATAGTTGAAGGTTCCCTCGCATGTTCGTCTTTCATCTGCCCTCATTCTTTTCAAGAGCGAGCTAACTAAAAATCATCAAGGGCAAAAGCAACAGAACAATTACCGATCTTCTTTCCTCCTCTCATTGATCTCAAAGTAAATGCGAAACGATCTCCCATCGTCGCTTTTGCAGTGATTTTTGATCGATTCAGAATTGATATCTAGCCGTTTTCAGAACAGTTACAAGTTAGTCTAAAAGTTTTTTTCTTCCGAAAAATAGTATTTGGTAGATCGTGAAACTGTTCATAGTCTGTGGCGAAAAACTTTTATTTGTATAAGCAAGAGCTTTGGGTAGGTCGCGAAAAGATTTCATGTCGACAGTAAAACGGTTTTCGATAAATCGAAAGAAGGAATTCTTTGATCATGGTCAGCAGCTTCTGTAGCGCCCTAAAATATTTTAATTTTGCGTAGATAGCCAGCTTGTTTTAGATTGTAGACGATATACATTTGGTTCCGCAGTTGCGATATGGATTTTCAGCAGCAGTGAAACAAATTTTTCAGCGATCAGCAAACAATTTCAGTTTAGTGCAACTTTTTGCTCGCTAGCGGAACAGACTTCGCTACGTGTTTTTTGATATAAATAGGCAACCGCTGATCCATCACAAAGCAATTTTTAATTGAACACTACCAAGAAGAATTCACAATTATATTAGAAAATGGCACCATCATCTTAACTTGTGTCCGTTCCCTCCTCTGTCCAGTTAGCAAAACTGTAATATACCGATCGCTACACGTTGAAAACTTTAACATCTCCGTTATAGCTCAATTCAATAAGTTTTTAATTTGAATTATATATTAGAATACGTTACATAAATATGTATATACATCTATATATATATATATGTATATACATCTATATATATATATATATATATACATCTATATATATAGTTTTTCATAATAAATCATTCAATATACTTTGTTAGTAGGAAGATACGCATAAGTAAGATATTTCGAAAAAAATTTAAACTAGATATCAAAAATATCTTAAAATGAAATAAATTGTTTTAACAGTATCCTGATGCTGGCAATCAATAAAAGTTTGCTTCAATTAGTCTTTGATTGCGGACACGTATAGTTAAGCAGACAGTATAGCGTGATCAAGCAGCGTCAACTATTCATATTTGTTTAGTCATGAAAATTAATTGGAAAATGGATAAGGATTCAGTTCTCTTTGTTTATGAAAAAATTGCAAATACTTTATATGGACTGCGTACATTCCAAAATATATATGTATATATATGTATATTCTTAAAGCTGGAAATGGAAAAAGGTGTTTCAGTGAAACCGTTACGAATGTAAACTCAAAGGAAATTTTTTTACTTCAACATTTATATATATATATATATATATGTTACTTATATATTTATCCATATATATGTATGTATAAAGAATATATGGATTAGAAGTTACGATTTTTATTTCTTCTATTACCTAGTGGTCGTTATAGGTTGTACACAGTTAGAGGTTAATAAACTTATATGCACGTTTGGTTACACTCTTCTATGCAACAATAACGAGACCAATATTTCCAAAATATTTTCTCCTAAACATGGGTGCACATGGGTTTTAATTGTAATTTACATTTTAGCGAGAAGAAAAAAACGCTTTGTCTTTTAAAAATTCTCATCGTAAAGCACTTACCATGTCTTCTTCATCCTCCGCATAATTAACATCTAAAAGCTGAAATTTCCAAGCCTGTACGCAGTCAGGTAATGAGTAAAGCGTCTCTGTTTTTAATTGTTGTTGTTTTAGATATCGTTGCGGTTGCTGTGATTGTTGTTGTATTATATCATGGCAAGCACTTTCACTATTAATGCTGGGAATTTCTCGTTGCGAAACTTGACTTACACTTGATAGGAGCACGGGGGAAGAAGTGTAATTTTTTTGAGACATGCTGGGACTGGGCGTTTTACCAATGCCACTGTCGTCATTGTTAGTGTTATTCGTATTGTATAAGATCGATTTGTTAGATGGTATCTCAGATTTAGCGAAATACAGAGATGCCTGTACACGATCATAATCGTAGACAATGGCTCGTAGTTTAAGTTCAGTTACACTATAAAATATACCAACGCTACGAAAGAGATGATGACTAAGACTGTAACTAAGGGCGGAAGCTAAAGTAGCCGTGCTACTGGCGAATCCAGTTACTGTACTGCCCGATAAAGAACGATCACCGATAGAGCTAGAATTAGAACTGTGATGCGAATAAATTGCACCTTTGGGTACGGAAGATGAGAAATTTGGTTCTTCTAATTGCGTTGTGAACATAAATTCATCGTCCGTTTCCCATTCATTGTGATCTTCTACATGATCGTGATCGTTGCATGAAATTAAAATTTCTGGTATTAAGGATGAATCATCGTCTTTGGTATTTTGACATAACTTCACTATATTCGTATCTTTTGTCGCGCTTGCATTCATTTCATAATAATCCATATCAGGCACATCGCCCACTGTCTTAAATTTCCATATAGGCTGATAGATACTGTCATCTTCTACGGTACGATTTCGTGTATTCGATGACGAATTATTTGTGGGCACAGTCATTGTTGTTGTTGTTGTTGTTGTTGTTGTTATTGTTATTGCTATAAGAGATGTATCTTCAAATTTATTTTTAAAATTGGAGCATAAATGCGTCTTTGGATCTCTTTTCGGTACTTGAGGGGGAATTTTCAATTTTTTATTTACGTCAACACTTGTTACTGGAGCACTTGTCAAAACACTTGCACTGCTATTTAATCGAATACTTTTCATACATATAGATTCTTGATTTAAATCGTTAAACGTATGTTGTATCTTTGGTTTATTATTACAATTGATTTCCTCAATTGCCGTTATTGGTTCATTGCTATTTGCGTTGCCGCAAAATTGTCCGTTTGTTTCGTTAAAGTCAAGCTCTACATTCAAACTGCGGCACTTATGAACTGGTATTGAGCTCTTAGCTCTCAATTGTTTCAATTTGTATTTGCTGTGAAATTGTTGGTATTTTCTCACCAACTGATTATACGAACGGCGTTCGTTACAAATTTGTTTTGTTTGGGCGATGCATTGCAAAAACACTTTTAATGTTTGATCATAATAAATCGTTACTATGTTTAAACTAAGCGATAACCATAAATTGTTGATAAGATGGACAAGATCAAATATTTGGGTTAGCGTTGTGTTAGTTCCGCTTACAATATTCTCTTTAGTAGCAACATATGGTTGCAAAGTATTTGAAATTTGCAAAGTATGGTCGAATATTGTTTCGTTATTTCTCGCGACACCAACGTTCAACGTATCATTTAGATGAGCTTCTTTAGACGATGAATGATTTTCTAAATGATTTTCATCAAGAATTTTATGATCTTGCATTTGTTTATCTCTTTGTAAAAGATTTTCAAATACTGTTAATATATCGTTAACGAATTCCGAGTTACGTTCGTGTATACCATGACGTTTGCGAGCGACATTACAACACACACTACCGTCCACTTGCAAAGGCAACGGATGACTAACTGCTGTATAGTCTTCAGAGTCGACGTAAGCCATACCTCGATATTTAAATAAAGCATTTCCATGCTCTTCATTATTATCTACTCTCTTCTCCGTATCTTTCGTACAAAAACGTGTACCTTCACTTAATTTCAGGTATATATTATTACGATTGTTTGCTGCTGGTTCTCTTAAACAGCTGCCAACTACTCGGCTCAAGGGCATCGTCAAACTATCGACACCTGTTGAGGATGAGGACGATGATGATGATGATAATGAGACCTTATTAATATTTTTGCCAAATGTGTTAACGTTTTTGCAACTGCCGTTACAAGAGGAATGCATTTCCTTGTTTATCAATAAATTCAATTTAAATTCCTGAACCATCCGTTGATAATGATGATGATTCGAAGGTGTTGACCGCTGGATAAACTCTAGAGAGCTAATGTCGTTTCTTTGATTTCGTAGTAAAACATTTTTGGCGCTGTCTAATGATTCGCTATCGCTGTTATCATCGTCTTCAGTATATTGCTCGTCGTTATGAAACTCGAACTCATGCAATTTTTTTTTAATATTTGGATAATTAGTCATTGGCGCCTGATTATAAATCAGTGAATTCTTCGCTGGAATACTCTTTGGATAACATAAACTATAAACGTCACTACTATCGTCGTTATTTATTAAACCGTGCGTGCTATAATTATAGATTTCGCGTCGCAATGATGTCATCCACTGACAAACACTATCGGGTAAATATAACGATTGTTTTTCTTCGCTATGGCTTTCCTGAATTTCTGCCTGGCTGCTGCTGCTGCTGCTACGTAAACGTAATAATCGAGGTTTAGATATACGCGGACGCTTGCCCGATGACTTTATTGAATTTGAACTTTTTGAACCCTCGCCACTAGATGTCGTGGAATTTGTAGAGGAAGTTAAACTTTTTTGTAACGGTGTGTGCGTGTTTTGTGTCGTTTGCGCTAATTGAGGCGGTAGAGTATGTGAATTTTTCGAAATGAAATCACTTTGCTTTAAACGCCCGTAAATATGTTGATCGCTATGACTGGTCTCACTGCGTTTCAATTCGCACATACGTTGCAAATCGAATGTCTCCTGAGTATGGAAGACTTGATCGTAACCTTCCACATTATGAACGATTTCTAAAGATTTCTTACTCGATATCTTCGACGAAACGCTATCCGAACTTTTATTGCGTTTCCAATTATCCAAAAAGTTACTTAAAATTTTTCGCTTATTATCAGTTTTATTAAATGATTTCGATTTTTTTACTTTCACTTTTTGCTTAATCGCCAAACTTTCTAAATGCTCTACGCTTTTATGTTTCGATTTATTACCAAAATTATTGATAGACTTTGGTGCGGTCAAACAATTGCAATGATCTTCATTAGCGCTATAAATTTGATTACACTGCTCACAAATATTTTCGTAAATATTTGTTGAGCTATTGTACGACGATTCATTCACCGCTGGCACACCGCTAACAATGCATTCACAAAACGTGCACAAGGGACCGCGGGCGGTAAAAACGCCATAATTGCAACCTCTACAAAGATTCTCGTAAACATTGGAACGCGGTCCGACTAGGGCGCTTCGAAAATATTTTTGCAATAACAATTTCTTATCGAGCAAATGAAGATCTGTGAAATTAACATTTTCATACTCACGACACGACGTCTCTGCTAGACATTTGCTGTCAAGCGTTTCGTTCGACGGTTCCGTTGCTAGCGAACGATATCCGCTATTAAGTGTTGCGCTCTTGTTTTTTGAGCGCTCGACCGTAAAATGATTATCATCAATCTTGTTGTTGCTATCCCTTTGCTTGCTCGCATAAACCGAATTGTTATTATTATACAGTTCTTGATTGTTGTTGTTGCGAGCGGTTTTTCCACCGCCATTGTCAGCATAACTGACTTTGTTTTTTTTGTTTTTGTAAACACGATTTAAATGCTCTTCTTTGCTCATTTTAAGCATTTATCGCTAACGTTTTCGTTGCTCTTGTTATTATTATTCCAGTGTTGACATATTGCATCAAAACCAAAAGCGAGCGCAACCCAACAGTCTGTCTATACAGAGTAAATGAGAGCTCTGCATTGGCGGTTTCATTTCAATTTAGTATTTGGGATACTTTTTGTTATTATCTTTACTCTTGTTTTTTTTCTTTTTTTTTTTTTTGCTTTAAATATATTTTGCTTTTAATTGAGTATCTGTTGTTTTTCTTTGTCTTTAGAAGTTTTTATGGTGTTTTAATTGTTCGTTTTCATTTTTCCTTACTTTTGCTTTCTGCTTTAACATATTATGCCGTAAAAAACAATAAATTGTTCTTTCACATATCACTCTTATGTCTATTAAGTTAAACACTTTCATATTTACATTCATAACCAATTTATTACGTTATTGTCAGTGTTGTTGCTGCTGTTCTTGGTATTGTTGTCGTTATTATTTTAGTTGTATTTAATACAACAATTCCCGGCTTCATGATTCATAAACATTAGTGCCCCTCTTTCTTTATTTCACATATTATAATTCTTCTCATACACATACAAAAACAACTGAAAACATTCTCTTACCCTTGCATATATTATATATGTACATACTTATACCCTACCCGTAAATTAAAGCATGTTAATGTAAACATTGCTCTGATCAAAAAGTAGTATAGAACAATGTGATGTAAGGCGTTACAAAATCTTTTTGTCGGTCGAAACTCTTCCAATTGATCGCATCAAAATGATGCATTGGTTCTTCGTGACTTTTCTACCAGAACTTCAGCTCATATCGTTCTTAAATCGCCCTTTCGTTTTATTTGGCTCTGTCCAACTACTGGTTTTGCTAGAAAATCAAAAATATCGCTTGGCGACGTCACCTTGACTTGATTGAGGATATAAAAGCAAATCAAAAAAGCAGTTCTAAAGGTGCTTGCAGCAAGTCGATTGGTGGACAATAGAATTGTTTCAAAGATTGAAAAATATATTGGCATAAGTGGATTTTTGTGTGAAAGGCTTGTATCCAAATCCCTACAAACTATCTAAAATATCTAATCAAAAATTGGTAGGAATAAGTTTTATTCAATTATTGTGAACTTATGCAGTATAAATTACTTCTGTCGAGTTAAGTTGTTAAACCGCCACTTTTTCCCCTTTACTATCATATTTTATTTAAAATGTGTATCGTATTTAAAATTCGAATTAAGCTGAACGTTGTATTTCGCTCTTGATATATGCTTAACATTTAACCTTACTGACTGAGTTTATTTTGTCGTGATGAGAGTAAAGCTAGAAAATTTGAATGGGGTGAGATAATTTCGCAAACCCCCTCATATATAGAAAGCAAACCCCTATATGGCGAAAAATTCTACTTCTTAATATTTTCTGGTGCAATTTGATCCAAAATACTTATATGACGTAGGGTGGCATTTGCTGTTGTAAGTATGGAATATATAGGCCTATTTTTCGTTCCCCTCGCCCATAAAAGAGTCCTAATGAAAAGTACGCCCAGTAGCATTTTATAATTTTTGATAATAAGTTCTTTGATAACAAATTTACTTTACTAAATTTTGGATGACGTCAATTCGAATTTAAGGCCGTTCGCCATACAAGGCTTATCCGAGTAAGTACGCCTTTTTGTGAAAACATAATATAATCTTTGGTAGTTTACAGTAAATATAAGTGAAGAATTGTATTCAAGTAAAGAGCAGAGTAGGGCGTATTGAACGGTTCACCCAACTCGATTATAACACTTTTTCTCGCCTATATTTTTTTATATTTGCTTCAGATGGTAAGTAATTAATATTTATCGTTAAGCGAATGTGAATTGTTGATTTTTCTGTCTCCAGGCCCTTAACCGATATTAGTTAGCGTTTCTAGCACAAGTTACCCTCATTTAACGTCAAATACTGAGTTGCTTTGGTGTCATGCTTTGCTTTTCTTCTAATTAGCCTCGTTTTTCAAACTCTCAAAGCAAGCGTGTCCCTAATAGAGCATCTCAAAAAAGGACTAGACTGACAGAAAATATTTCGTTCAGATTCCTCTTCTCATTTTCATATCTTCTATTTAAAGGCGACACCGTACTAATTTACTTATTGAATGGAACTGACACACAAAAGTTCTTTGGAATGTACGTCATCACGGTCAAGACGCAATTCTCTGACAATTTGAGCTAAACTGCTCGACCGTCTATGTATTGCAATTTGTATTGTAATTTGACCACAAATATTTCCACAATTGTTAACAACATGAAAAATACTTTAGAGAGCAGATTAAGAGCTAATTAGCTCTTGGTAACCTATAGCCTATAACTTTAGTGATGGGATATAATTATAATATAACACAAAAGACTACGAGTGAAAAAACACCATAATTACAATTTCCATAGAGATTTTCGTAAACGCGCTACGAAAACGTTTTTCAAAAGTTATTTGCCTACAGATACTGACTTCCGATGGGATACAACTTTGATATAATAAATATGGAATAATAGATATCTTATACCACTTTGCTTAATATAACGGCTTATCAAAATAAGGCCTTATATTGGAAGTGATGGAAAAAGTGGTCCGTCCCAACAGCGTTCGCCTTTTGGGTCAAAACATGTAAGCGTCCCAAATTTTAACAAAGTATATGGAAAATTGCGGCCTGTAGGTTGAACACAAGAACAGAACGAACAAGCGGACAGATAAGCTTGAATCGATTCAAAAAGTGACCGAGTCGATCGATACAGTAAAAGACAGTAAAAGTCTATCCCAAGCTCTTCCGAATATTGCGTACATTCGTACAAACTTCATATATCCTTGTAGCATAAGCGATAGGAATGGAAGCCTGCGTTGACTCTGACTCGAAATTCGTAGATGAATTCTTGCATTCAATTCAAACCTTACATTTAGCACTAACATTACGGGTTAAATAATGTTGTATGAGTATTTATTGTTCGCGTTCGGCGTTCGTTACCTTCTTGCTTACTTAATGTTCACGACGATCATCTTAAAATATTATCGCAATATGTTAGGGACCGACCTAACTCAATACTGATTTGGAATGTTGAGTGTCCACAATTCATCGTAAAATATATATGTAAAACTCTTAATTGTTGCATATTTTTGTATTTTTCTATTGAGTCATATTTAATTGTTCAAGAATATACAAATCAGCGCTACACACATTTAACAGGTGGTTTCATAATCTGCCCCACGCCATAGACATGTCTATTACAAATATGAGTACAACGATCTCATTGTATTTGTGTAATTGTTCGAAGATATGTAAGTAAATTTATGTGAATTTACATTTTTGATATATTTAGCTGTAAACAAACATACGCACCTATACATGCAAATATAATTGTATATGGTAATCAGTTAACTTATGCATTAAGGAAAATTTTAAAAACAGCTCAACATGAACGAAAAAACACATGTACCTGAACTGAAGCAAAAAAAAAAAAAAAAAAAAACCTTTTACTTATGCTTGTTTTACACTCAATGTTGTTTGATTATGTATTGGCGTAAAACGTTAACCTCTTGTCACTTTTCGTCATTTAAACTAATGCAATATTAAAGTAAAGGAAATGTATTTAAACAGGTATTGTTTCCATATTCCTCAACTAAGGCTGATGGCCTTCGGAACTTTGCCATGATTTGGATAGCCACACGTTGTCTTCAATTTCACCATTCTTGATTCGAGTTAGATCTGAATTCATTTTAGTCATGCCCAAGGGACCGTTCGAAAAGTGTCAAACTTCTTAAACTAGCAATATGGATAACGAATGGTTAGGAAATACATTTTTCGTGGAATCTGAGTATGATCGTACATTTAATCTGCTTGAAAATATACCCCTAATATATATAAAGCACTTCAAAAACTTGGTATTATTCAAAATACCATGTTATACATGTGTGCTAGTGATCGTAGAAACACTCCTATCCCATTCATTTCCAGTTGAATTCGGTTTTAAGCGAAAACGGATCTGTGTACCAGCTTTCAGTGAAACATATTGAGAATTGTGACCTATAGGTTAAACGCAAACATACCCAAGTAATCATGGAAAGGACACAGATTTCAATCGATCTAAATCGATAAATTCAAAATATTACAATGAAGCAAGGCCGTCTATTATATGTAACACACGAGTTCATCTAATGCAATGCAAAGTAACTTTGTTGCCTTAGAAACACTAACTCTTCGTGAGAATACCTACACAGAATTCGGAAAATAGACCCATGTGGACCAAGCTTACTACACTGAGTTAATATATCAAATCATTATTTTGGACTAGCTTTCATCACAAACTACCAAAAGTGATTGCCTTGTTGCCACACATTTGTTTACGTTACTTCGCCAAAATAATATTTTGCACACATTTTTGCGGCGAAACCTTAAAAATTGCAAATTTTTTACATAATCACCTATTTTCCAAATGGGACTTAATTAGGGCAATAGCTGTAGAAATCGTCCGATCCAACTCATTATTAGGGACGTTCGCCAAAGCATGTCAAATTTCATTAACGAAAATTTGTAATTTGGACACAATGTTAAATAAAAAAATGATTCTGAATGATTCCGATTAATATAATGGAAGACGTATCTATCCTCAAGTCTTTCTGAGTGTTGAATACATCCGCCCAAATATAGTATACCTGGGAATAGTATATAGGTAGTGCAATTTTTTATACGAAATATCGATCACTAGGCTCGCGAGTAACATATATGTCTTTCATTCCGTTTAGAACACCGGAAAATAAGCCTTATAGACTTCATAACATCCGTATAATTTTAAGTAGGTTCAAGCATTTGAATCACTTTTTAATCACATATGTACCCAACTTTCCTCCGTATGTTGATGGAAACTCATAATATTATAAAAAAGGGTAGAAAATAAAGTTTGAAGGTAGGTACAATCTGCCTATAAACTCACCTACGATAATTGAAAAAATTTAGGGATCTCAAAGTTTCAATATAGCCTCAATGACATTTTGTCAGATATCGATCTGAACTTAATAGCGCAAACTAAAAACCTTGTTTGAAAGTGAACACGGAACCTTTGCAATAAACAAAAAAAATTTATAATTTATCAGTGAACGTTAGAACGCCCTATAAATATCGTTTCCAGCCGTATGAGACCTTCTCTTTTAATCTTGAAGTGATAGACATGTGAGCATCGTTGGCTT